AAGAAATATTTAGCAGTTTATTCACAATGCTATCATTGTAAATGAAATATTGATCAAATGTAATAACCTAATAGTAGCTCGGTGGCGTAGTGGATAAGCGCCGCGGCCCGCGATCGTTGTTGTTAAGCAACTTTCGCAAGGGTCGGTCACGGGATGGGTGACCAAAAAAATATTATCTCGAGCTACTCCGTGCTTCGGAAGGCACGTTAAGCTGTTGGTACCGGCTGCATTTGCAGTCGTTAATACCCTCAAATCCGCATTGGGCCAGCGTGAAGGGGCATGGCCAATCCTCCTTAACCATCCATAAGGAAGGCCTGAGCCACTGCAGTGGAGACGTAAAAGGGCTGATGATGATGATGATGAATAACCTACACTGATATCATCTAAAAAGAGTTTTGTAATCAATACAATAAAAAAGTAGACCGTTTTCAATAAGATTCCAGATTAGTACGATTGTACAGCCAACAGTGTACTAGGTTATACAAAACCATCGATATTTTTTTTTTAATTGATTATAAATCCTAAGTTGATGTAAACGCAAAAATATGATGACATCTGTCATTTTTGTATTAAGTGCCGCGCTGCAGAATGTTTCATCATTAACATGGACTAAATTTATTTCATCTTAAGTTAAATAATAATAATAATAATAATAATAATGTCTTTATTTGCAATAAATAGGGTTATATATACAGTTGTGATATTTCAGTTTAAGAGCTTTGACCTATTTAGCCATCTTGAACAGCATGCAAAAAATAATAATAATAATACCTAATAATAATAATAAAATAGATGAAACTTAAAATATTTCATAATAACATAAAATTGTGTCAAATTTAACAATAATGGTATTTAATCAAAATATTACAATTGTGTCAAAACGTTATTAATCATGTCAATTTTATCAAATTGTACAAAAAAAAATAAAATAAAATAATTAAAAAATGTATAAGATGTCAAATGGAAATATTAAAATATTAAACGTATGTCAGATGCAATTATGTAAAATTATTTATAAAACTTTGTATCGACTATCATGCTTACAAATTAATTACTGAATAAACTATCCTTCATTAAGGAATTCACCAATCGAGTAAAAAGCTTTTTCAATCAGCCATCTACGCAATAATATTTTAAAACGATTAGCCGGCAAATCTTTTATATCATTGGGTATTTTATTAAAGACAGTTGTACACATAAAGAGACTATTTTTTAAAATTTTTTTTGTTTTTGGTATCGATGTATGTACTACTTTGTTCGGGTTTCTCAAACTTCTTTCAGTTACATTACTCGATCGCACGAAGAAGTTTTCGTTTTGCTTCACAAACATCGCCACTTCTAATATATACAGACAGGGCAGTGTTAATATTTTTAAAGAAATAAAATAAGGTTTACATGATATGTCTGATGTCAAATTGCATATAGCTCTAACACAGCGTTTCTGAGCAATCAATAATCTTGTTACATCAGTACCATTACCCCAAATAATTAAACCGTACCTTAAAACTGTTTCTACGTACGCAAAATAGGCTGTAATGGCAGTATTTAAGCTTGCAACTTTGGTTAATTTGTACAATGCATAAGCAAATCCATTTACTTTATTGCATATTTTATCTATTTGTTCTTTCCAGGTCAATGTTGGCGTAACTATTAGTCCTAAAAATGTAACACTTGTTGCATTCTGAAGAATTTGTCCGTTAAAAGCTATGTCAATCGATTGGGTTTTAAAATTATTGAAATTCATTAAATTAGTTTTTGATAGATTAATTTCTAAGTTATTATTTTATGTCCATTCGTTTATTGATTTTAAGGTACAAATTATGTCATTTTTATGTTGGTCCAAAGAAGAGTTTTTGTCAGTTGTTATTATTATAGAAATGTCATCAGCAAATAGTATCAATTTATGTTTTATTATGTCTGGTAAATCGTTTAGATATAAAATAAATAATAATGGGCCCAGGACACTCCCCTGTGGAACACCAAGTCTATTAAGCCTAACTTTAGATTCGTATTTAACAATCTTTTTTAAGCTTATTTGATTAATTTCTACATATTGAAATCTATCAGTTAGATAAGTCTTTATCCAATGGAGAGCTGGACCCCTAATTCCACTACGCTCTAGTTTAGCTAACAGTCTGTCATGTGGAACACGGTCGAACGCTTTCGACATATCTATAAATAACACTGTTGTGAATTTTTTTTCATTGACGTTTTGAAGTACCTCATTAACAAGGTCAAAAGTAGCATGCGTTGTCGATTTATGCTTTTGAAACCCATATTGGTGTTTTGTAATGACTTGGAATTTGTCAAGAAACGTTGAAAGGTGATTATGCATGACTTTCTCAAAAACTTTTGAGAGAACTGGTAATATCGCTATTGGTCGGTAATTACGAACATCAGATTTGTCCCCTTTTTTATGCAACGGTTTAATAATAGATAGTTTCAATCTATCAGGAAACTGTCCAGTTTGCAATGATAGATTCACCAAAAAGGTCAATACCTGACAGATTTCACCTTTACAATATTTTAATACCTTAGTGCAAAGAGAGTCATAACCTTCAGATTGTGAGTTTTTTAGAGACATTATAGTCTTGCATATTGTATTTTCATCTACTGGTGGTAAAAAAATAGTGTTTGATATTGTTGAATTTATCACGTTTGTTTTGTTATAATTAGAATTAGTTTTTATGTCATCAATAAAGTAATCATTAAATGTAGAAGCAATCATAATGGGGTCTATAACCTCTTCGTCATTATACACCAATTTATTAATATAATTATTTTTAAAACGTTCACCAACAGTCTCATTTTGTATGACATTCCAAGTTGCCTTACAGATATTATTACTTTTAGAGACATATCTTTGATTTGCAAGCCTTTTTGAACAGTTTATACATTTTCTTAAAGTTCTATTATATTTTAAATACTTTGATCTATTTTTATTTGTTTTATTAGAGTAATATTTAAAACGAAGCATTCTCTTTGTTAAACTACTTATTTTAAGACCTTTGGAAAACCATTGAAGCTTTGTGGAAAATTTGTTTCTAATTTTTATTTCTGGGAAGCACAAGTTATATAGCAGAACCAACAATTCATGGAACTCATTAAAAGCGGTGTTTATATCATTTTGCTTAAATACATTAGTAAAAGATAAACTACTTAAATGCTTCTTAAAGTTATTAATGTTTTCTTGCGAATAGCATTTCTTGAAAGTAAAGACAGAATCAGGAATTACTGTTTTTTGTTTAATGTCAAATTCCAAAACCTGCGCTGTATCATGGTCCGATAAACATAAAGGTAAGACTGAACCATTTGCGTTTTTTATATTACTCAATATTAGATCTAAGCATGCATGCGCTCTGGTGGGAACATTTATGTGGGAATGAAAATTATATTTTTTTAATATGTCACGAAATTCTAAAATGCTTTGGGTATTTGACAGCATATTAAAATTTAAGTCACCTGTAACAATTATATGCTTTTTTGGAAATTTCATTAAACATCTATGTAACAATAAGTCAATTTTTTCCATAAAATATGTAATATGTCGTTTAATTTTGGATGGAATTCTGTAAATACTTACTACTATAATATTGTTTGTAGTTAGATTTACCGCACAGCATTCGAAGTGATAAGTCATTGCAAGGTCATCAAAATGTGTTAATTTTTTATATTCTAAACCTTTCTTAATCAGAATACAGGATCCGCCTCTTTTTTTAGACCTTGAAAAGCTTGATGCCAGATTATAGTTATATATATTAACATTACTTTCTTCCCCCAGTTTGATAAAACTCTCAGTTAAGGAAATTACATCTGGTTTTATTTTATTTTTAAGGCTAGATAATGTAAGTTCAAATATTTCTTTTTTAGAAAGTATGCCATGTATATTTTGGTGAAATATTGTAAACTTATTCTCGAAAAAAATTAGCTTTCCTTTGATTTGAAGGATTTAATTCATTTGTGTTATTAATTTGAGAATCAGGCCCCACTTTCTTAAAATAATAAGGTATTGTACCTCGCTTTGGAATGTTCATTTTTTCAATCGATTTTTTAGATTCCCTAATATGTTTTTTTATGAATTCATAAGAAAGATAATTCTCTTTATATTCAATGTAGTCGACACAAAGATTTATTTTGTCAACAATTATTTTTTTTTGTAAAATAATGTCATAATAATAGAAATATTTGTCAATATGTGTACAATGAGCAAAATGTCTAGTCCATAATCTAATATTATAATTTAAAGTTTTTTCATTAATGTGCTGATTGTAACATATGGGTAATAGAATTACAGAGTGTTGTAAACTACGGAATATATACAGCAGGACATGGTGCGATCTAGCTACTTCTGGGGGGAACATTGATGAAAATAGGCTCTGTAGTGGCGAAAAAGAAATAATTGCTTGAAAAACTCGTCGGTTAGAGCAGCCGCCCGAATTGCGAAACGTTACGGGTTCGAACCCATCTCTGAGTACCAGGGACAAGATGGATTTTTAAGCATATTTCATTAATAATATTTTCCAGTATGGCATTGTGAATGCAAAGTTGATCAAATATAATAACAAGAATATTTATATTTTATCCGATTTATTTATTTTTGAATAAGCTTTCTGCTTTGGCATAGGCTTCGCCTTTATTCTCAAGTTTTTGAAAAAGTGATTCCCGTTTAGTAAGATAAAACGGAGCTTACATGTTAATACAGGCTTACATAAAGAAAATTTTAAATCCTTCAGTAATTCCCAAATATCAACATTTCTCTATTTATGTATGTAAGAACTAGTTTTCCGGCAGCGGCTTCGCCCTTTAATCTCTAGGGAATCGTTTAGTAGGACAGAAATGTACGTATATGTATATCTATAGCCTATATGTTAATCCAGGATTACAATTATCTTAATACCAAATTTCACCCAAATTTATTCAGTAACTTTTGCGGAAAAGATTAACATACAACCTCACAAACTTTTGGTTTTATAATATTAGTAGGATAATATAATACATACCCAAGCAACCAGTGCTACCCTGGTAGACGCATTGCCCATCAGCCAGAGTGTATAAATGATCGAACATCTCGAACAGCCGGGCAGACGGCTGGTGAATAGTGCAGATTATGGTCCGTCCACCTCTCGCCAGTGTCTTCAGTAACGAGATGCATTGGAAACACGAGGAACTGTCCAGCCCGGAGGTAGGCTCGTCGAAGAACATGATCGGTGGATTATTCACTAACTCTAATGCGATAGACAATCGCTTCTTCTGGCCACCTGACAAGTTGGAAGTCATAGTTTTGTGGTGCTCCGACAGGCCGAGGGTTTCGAGAATTTCTTGTATCTGGAAAAATAATAGAAATTGTCGAAAAACTGTTCGAGTTCTCCAATTTTTTTGCTAGGGCCAGCGAGTTTATTAACGTCCCTACTGCTGGGGAATAGACTTTCCCAAGGGATGGGAATCGAATATAACAGGCACAATAGGCCATGGCCCAATAAATAAAATAACGCGGTAAATCCCTTGTAAGTGTTATTTGATACTATCAAGATCTTCTAAATTCTTAAATAAAACCTCTTTAAAAATGCAGTTAACTTTTTACTTATAATGAATTTATACAACCTATTATTATCTAAAGTTTATAGAACAATGTAGTATATTATCATCCGTGAACCTATGTTGCTCAAAAATACTATAATTTTACTCATATATAATACCAGTGACGGTATGCTTCACTAGTTTTTCTGACGTCATATAATTTTTTAATGTCACAAAGAAACGTTGACCTATACAGGAAAAGTTTTTAGCACAATATCCCCGCATACTTAATCAGAAAACAGACGATCATACAACCTTCTACTCGTACCAATTAACACGACACCTGAAGACATATTTTATCACTCAGAGAAAGGATTGTCTTGATGAGAAAAATGAATTTCTAATGGAACGAAGGTAGGATTTGATACTGCCACTGATGCACAGATAATCTTCACGGATATGATTTTAATTATAAGAACGAAATTCTGAAAATTTCGAGTCATGTTAATTTGTACGAGTAATATCTCATTCTAGACAATGTCACTCGGCAGCAAATGCTCAAACACTTAGTCTGTAGATCGTTTTTATCGTTCGATCGACGATATAGAAATGATATTTTAAAATAATAAAAATAATAATCTTTTTGCATACTCAAGCCACATAAACTAGAAGCGAAAAATAAAACAAAAGGCAGTATTAATGTTAGCAATTTCAACCCGCGCTGGGTGTAGCGGGTATGCGTAACGCATTTCGCAGCGTCAAAAAAAAATCCATGTTGAAAAATATATAATGAACAAAGGTGGGTGTGATGTAGAGTTGGCAACCTCATCTTCCGAAAACTAGGGATGTGAAGTTTGAAACCAAGAAAATTACAGTTTAAGAATAGTTTGCGGTAATTCTTGCATCGTTTTAAATATCAAAGTATGATCCCGCCAAGCATTGAACATAAAAATTGTGACTAAATCAAGATTGCATTGCTGCTTAAAACCACAATTTAAAACTAACCAAGACATCTCAGGACACTATAAAAACCAGGTCAAGTCCTAGTAAAACAGTACAGTTGGTAAATCTATCTCAAGGGCAGTGTATACTAGATATGTATGGATAACCAACATAATTAATAAAGGAAATAAAATAATAGCTAAAGTTATTGAATTCAAAGATAATGATAGGAAGTGACTCTTCACTTGAGCAACAAAACTGTGATATTTGTAACGAATACAACAATAAAGTGATTAAATAAATGTGTCGGTAACGGACTATTACGTAGATAAAAGGTGCATCGTGTTACAGTTTTAGTGTTGCAATGTAAACGGTAAATTTTTATGCAACAATTGCGATCACGCATATTAATAATATGTAATATAACAGGTGATAAAGGCATTTTCATTCATAATTTATATTATTTATTGTCAGACTAACATAATTCAAAATTGCCGTTTATTATCACCTCGAAAGTGAAATAGGGAAGTTTGGGGCCTTTGGAACAATAGTATAGTAGAAATCGAATACTTTTACAATTTTGCGGATAATTAGATAATAATAACAGTACAGTAGTAATCTTACGCTTATGTGACGGTAGCAAAATTACCAAGCCACATATTTTGATAAAGGTGTAGAATTTATTAGGTTAAAGTTTGTAGAGGGGGTCTATAGAGTCAGAATGTCGGCTTTAATCAAGATCTGAAAACTTTTTGGTGTTATCTTAGCAAAATTTTACATCAGAACGTTTTTGGTAGGATTGATATTCGGAAAAAATATGTAACATGTGTTTTTTCTCAAAAATTAAGATTACCTCTATTCGAAATTACATTACAATCAGACCACTGGTCACACCGTGAATGCATAGCAATAAGAAATACTTTGCAATTATACGTGCAGTCAGTTCTAACTCGACGTTATTTTTCTTTTCGACATTCTTCCATAATCGAGAAAAAGCATGAGCAAACTTTTGATTTGTCCCATATTATGATAACATTTGACACTTCTATCACAGGATGCTCTTTTTTTATTAACTACTTACGTCAGAGTAAGTTTATCCTTGTTAAATTGACCAATGACGAAAAAGCCGATATCAAAACTGGTTTTGTTGACGCTATTGATTCTATAAAAGCTACGATTGAAGCTGGTTTTGCTGGTCAGTAACCGAGTATATGATTACACCAAGTATGCACATTGAAGTAGTGAAATTAAACTACATCTATAATCTATGCGAATACACTGAAACCTGTTTAACTGGGACCTGGATATGTGAGAAACCTCTATTATTGAGAACTATAATGAGGTCCCAGCACATATTCATGAATTATCTCTGTTAATGGAACTTTTTAGGCCTGGTTAAATGAGATTTGATTTATACGATTTTTTTGATGTTTACCTTTATAATTGGCAGTTAAACTCAATTCCCTGTATACATGAGACAATTTATCAAGTCTGAGATGATTGTTTGCAAGCATTTGAATTTCGTTCGCACATAAAGTATGTGCGTCAGTACTATCTCAAATTTTGACCTACAAACAAGGGAAAAGAAGTTTACAAAATGTCCAAACGTAAATATAACACATTATCAGCATCTGAAAAAATAAAGCTTCTTTACTGTTTATTTCATCGAAAAACAAGTTCAATAACTAGCAATCAAATACAAACAAACATAACCGATTGCTTTATGTCATAAACTTTACTGTATACTTAATTCATAACACCAAAAATACTAATTTTGATTAAGATTCTTAAATTAAGCCTCAGTAATCAAACCTGTCTGATTGGAAAACTGGATAAATGAAAACCTCTACATGGTACAAAATCTTTAGTGCCTTGTGATCCCAATAAACCAAGTTTCACTGTATTATAAAGAAGAAACATTTGTTTGTTTGCTCCCAAGGTATTGGAACCGATTTAAAAAAATACTTTATCTACGGGAAACTACATCATACGTGAGTATCATATACTATAATTTACAGACGCGAAATTTTGGAAAATTAACCAGTTACCTATAAATAGTTAAAACATTGTAGAATTTTGATTTCAGATTTAAACACTAGTAAACTTAAAAGGCCTTCTAGCATACACCTAACCTGGCATGTATTAAAAATGTACGTACAATTATTGTAATAAAAAAAAATCAGGCAATACTGACCACTTCCTGCTTGTCTGCCCAAGTGGTAGCACTCGGCAATTTCAAGGCAGTAGCTACCGACATAGCTTCCTCCACAGTCAAGTTGCCATGGAGCTGATTGTCTTGCATGATGTAGCAGGAGAGCTTCCGGAAACTGGAAAGGTTTCGCTCCATACCGTTCACTGTGATGCTTCCTTCCATTCCTGAGGTCCTGTTAAAAGATGCGACATATTAGTACCAGTCTGATTTGAAGGTCAGATAATTGCAAACAATTATCCATTGACAGATGAACGTTTATGGTTATTCGTTGTCTTTTCATTTTAAACCTTAATTTCATTGCACGTAAATTTAAAGTCAAATTGACGTAATGGTTTGTGTACTTTGATATCATAATATGTGAGTATCTTGTATTTAAATTTGTATTTCCTTAAGATGGTCTGCAAATGTAAAGAAAAAAATCATCAGAGTACAGAGCCCATTTAAAAATTCTAAACTAACATAAAAACAAGAAATCACTTACTCTTTGTAAGCAAAACATGAAAAAAAAAATTTGTTTACTCAAGGGCGAGGTTACATTGAAAACAAGTTTCTAAGCGCAAAGGCTATTATCATACTGCTATTAGTTTATAGGACATTCATCAATTGAAGATCGGGGTTACTGTACAGAGTAGGTTACTTTGGAAAATCTTCCACGATGACCTTGGAGAACGATGATTATGCTTAAGTTAAATCAAATTTATCATCGTAAAGAGCTACCGTAAAACTTTCTTAATGAAAAATGCTTTAAAATCCACTTGGTCCCAGGCACCCTGAGATGGGGATCGAACCCTAAAGAAATATTTTTATAAATATTTAATCTTTCCATAAAGATGAAAATTTGTTCTTTTCCCTAATATTCAAACTCTTTCCAAACGTGGTTTAAAATGTTGCATATAAAGTTCAATTTAGAATATTAAATTACGTAGGTATCTCGAAAAGGCACCTAAATTATTGTGCATCATGAATCCAATAATTATCGTCTTTTGATAGCTACTTGGCGTAGTACTACTAGAGTAGCAAGGTGGCGTAGTGGATAAGGGCCGCGATCGTTGTTGTTAAACAACTTTCTCAAATGTCGGTCAAGGGATGGGTGACCAAAAAATTATTATCTCGAACTACTCCGTGCTTCGGAAGGCACGCTAAGCCGTTGGTTCCGCCTGCATCTGCTGTCGTTGATACCCTCCAATTCGCATTGGGCCAGCGTGGCGGGTTATGACTCATTGTCCTCAACTACCCATAAGGAAGGCTTGAGCCCCTGAAGTGCGGACGTATCAGGGCTGATGATGATGAATAGCTACTTTGCGGCATGGCTGGTAAATCTTTATTTGAGGTTTGAAACGTTAAAATGAAATTTCGATAGTTGATCTGGCAGCCTGACAGATCGTTTAGGACTCCTTTTTGACACATAAATCAGGATTTAAACACACTCGGTATATATTTTTAATCGTCTCTGCGAGTAATGACCACCAACGTGACATTGGTGGAATTGTGTAATCGCAAATATGCCATAAATTAAGAAAGGAGTGCCGCTGATCCAATTATGAGAATATTAGACAAATATTATTAGTGTTGTCTAAAGGGCTAATAACTACCTGCTCAGAACAGATGATCATTTATTTTATATCAAGGTTAATTACTCGCGTAAATAAGGCCACGGATAGATATTTATCTATCGAAGTTCAAACTAGTGACACAAATAAACCTTTTGGAGCATCATAATTTCCTTGTTTATCATTACTCCGAGATAAATATATTTTTAATGAAGTTGGGTCTTCATATATGAAATACGGTAGTATGGCGGTACAGTGGTATATAAACTTTTTTCTTTTGTTTAATAAGCAAGTCTCCAAACACACATCTATGTCGTGCAACTGTCATCACCATCACCAGCCCTTTTACGTCCCCACTGCAGGGGCTCAGGCCTTCCTTATGGATGGTTAAGGAGGATGGGCCATGACCCTCCACGCTGGCCCAATGCGGTTTGGAGGTTATTAACAACTGCAAATGCAGCCGGGACCAACGGCTTAACGTACCTTCCGAAGCACGGAGTAGCTCGAGATAATAATGTTTTGGTCACCCATCCCTTGACTGACCCTTGCGAAAGTTGCTTAACGACTACGATCGTGGGCCGCGGCGCTTATGCTCTACGCCATCGAGCTACTCAATATAAGAGTGGATATAAATCTGGAATTGTTTTGTCCCTTTATTATATTTATTTTTTCATTTTGGTAGTTTAGTAATTTTGTGAATTAATCGATTAATAGGTAATTGATATTTTGTAGGAATATGAAATCAAAAACGACCGTTTTGTCAACAGTGACACAACCGAGGAGAAAAATACACAACCTAAGTATGTACAGTTATATATATTGAAACAAAGAGAGAAATACTTTGATAGAAAATGCCTAGATGCAGTTATTCGACATACGTGGACTCTGCGAGTCTTATAAAGTTTAAAATCTTATACGTCCATGCTAATAACTATGTTCTCAAGAATCACAAAGATGAGGCGACCAAATTTTCGTGAATTGATTTGTACTAAGTATATTTTGAGACTGGATGTCTTACGACACTGGCTCTAATCTGCAATTATGTTTTTAATTAATCATCATAAGAAAAACAATCAAATCAATATCATATAATATAAAAATTATGGGTTTTATAAGGGATCCTCTTTCTCACTTCAAAATATTAATTGAGTGACGAAACTAAGATAGTTTTCATTTTCCGTTAGAATTACTTTCAATTTGACGGTAAACTTGTTACTCATACTGCGGTTTACTCGAACACAATTCGATAAGAACCATTTTTAGTTTATTATGGTTTCCGCTAGAGGCGCCGTTCTGAAATATATGGGAACAAAATGTGACATCCTTTTCGAAAAGTCGTACGGGATCGTTGCGTCATCTTTTCCTTTTTATAAACATGTAATAGAGACATCAATAAAGCTGTGAAGTTCGTTCTATTGAGAAATTCGAAATTCGACATTAAATTGCAACGTAAACTATAAACTATATCCTAAACTATATAGTAAAAAAATAGTTTTAACGTAAACTAAACTATAGTTTTTAGACAAACTTGTACTATAGATACAGCTCTACCGCGTAATGTTGGTGTACTCGTTTGGTTGCCAACTGCTATGGCTCATCGTTGAATCACATATGTTTACGTACAATAATTACACAAAATATTTTTATATTTTATTATTCAAAGTTGTTCTTGTACAATCAGATAAAAAAGGTTGACGGAATTGAAAATAAACAAATATCCAAATAAGAAAGAATCGACGGTAATTAGGTATAATATTGTTTAAAATAATAAAAATGAAAGAGTACTTCATCTATATTTGTATTGTTAAGATTTTATTGTTTGTTTTCATTGAGGGCCAGAAATTATTGGACCTATTTGAAAAATCTTTCACCAACGGGAGGCTACATCAAATTAGCGTGACATAACCTATAATTTACACGGGCAAACACGCGTAAATGCAGCTAATTGTTCATAATACTGTAGTGTAGAAATAGGGTCAAACAAATATTATGAAACTAAGCTAGCATACAATTTAAGTACTATTATGTCCCTGTCAATCCTTATAAACCGGATATCACTTATCAGTGTTCGCTCAACGGGGTCACATAATGCAGCACTGACACTCAGCTGCTAGCTTATCAACATACAACTTATCACTGAACAATGTACAGAGGACAGTGTCTACGTTAACTTACCACATAAGGTCAAATTCCTCCAATCGATTTTAAGTCTTAATTTATTGACAATAATGTTTCATTATTGAATACAGAAGTTTAGACTTTTGCGGTAACTTCATGCGTTGTCTAGTGTAAACAAATTAACAGTACAAAATATAGTGAGAACTCTCAAATTAGTAGTTGCAGTAAATTTCCAACTCGATTGCAGAAAATTATTTTGCGATGTACATTTTACTCAACAGAGCACTATAGGGCAATTGAGCAAATAGGGGCAATCCAAATGTTGAGGGCGTCGTACATTTCGGCTGTTTTGGCAATAACAGTCCGTTGTTTGTAATTTAACGACACGTCTAAACGAAAGTTAAAAATAAATAAAGTCATTAGCGGAGCCTCGGTTCAGACAGTCCCAAATGTTTGTTTTTTTTTTAAATGGTATTTATATCTTTGGTCGCACAAAATTGTATAATTTACTTCGAGAGGTTTCATAGATCTTGCTGAACGCCATCTTCTACATTAGAAAATAGGTCAAATTCAGTTACGAACGCAATCACTTACAAGTTCAGTGCCAAAATGTCACGGAGGTCGCGTAAGTAGGCCACATCTTGCGTTCCACCAGTTCGCGAAACTTTGATTATTTCATTACTTGATTGGAATCATTAGTTAATCAACACCACATACAGATTTATGAAAACATTGTGAGTTGTTTTAAATCGAACAGAAAATTGAATTATAAATAATCTCTACTTTGCGTTTTTGTTGGAGATTTTGCCCTCATACTAGGTACTGTATAATTCAGTTTTGGTCATTACCGTTAAAATATGTTAGGAGATCATAATATCCATTACAATGGGCGGAACATTTGTGTGGTGTTATGGTAATTAGAAACTAAATAATTACGCAGTGACCAAGCATTTATTGTAATTTTAATGTCACTTTTACTTCTTTATTAGCATTTTATTATACTGAACTCGTTAATTCTTGATGTTTTAGCAACTTTTTAATTGTAGTTTTTTAATAAAATAACTAAAACAATATTTTATTTAAAAGTCATATGAAATCGTGAGTTATCAAGAAAACTATCGCAGTTTTGACAAAAACACCGAAATCCCGAGACACAAACAGAAATATAGTAAAACCTTTTTAATAACGCAGAGGAAATCCACCTTATGCCTCCAATCACGGCTCGTTACACCTAGAAACTGCTCCGCGGAGCAACGTTAAAGTATCGTTACCTGATAAAACCAGTAGAACATAATACATTACCCAAGTCAACATTAATTGCACGGTAAATAAAATCTTTTAGTAAAACCTTGTCTATTCTTTCAGCTCAGGTAGAGGTGTTAACCATCCTGTTTCTCAAAACATGTACTTTTATAGTCCTAGGATATCTTGGATAGTCTTTTTTCAAAGTTAGACTTGGGGAAATATTCTGTTTTGTAAATTTCTAACTCACCTGTATCCTGTAAGAATATTAAGTAGTGTGGACTTTCCGGCGCCGGACGGACCCATGATGGCCGTAAGTTCGCCGGATCGGAGCCGACCGGACACCGATTTGAGAATAGTCTTGACATCTGAAATAGACACACTCTATTAATGCTTATTCTTTTCTTCCAAATTATAGAATATACAGGAATATAATTGGCCAATACAACCATCTATTGGAGATTCGATTACAGAACACAGTCGTATCTTAAACACTTGTCATCTATCGTATATTTATATAGATAAGACTATAATTTGATATTAATAGAGGTACTCAACAGTTGGCAAGGTTTCACTATTTAAAAATAAATTAAATTACCTTAAACTTTCAGAAGTTATCTTTAACATAACCCTGTGACATAACCCTATTCAACTTAATATTATTCATATTACTATTACTAAGGCATTATAAATAGTGACATAATTAATAACTTATTTCATAATATTAACGATAAATATGTATAGGTATTAAACTATTGCGAAATCGGAAAGTAATTATTTTGCACAATCCTTACGTTTATTGAGGTATCACGTTCAGAAGCTGATGGCAAATTGACTGATTCGGTCTACAATTGCGGAGGTCAAGTAATATTTGGATGGTCGGTAATTGAATGGTTGATTAAAGATTTATTATCTTGAGCTTTTCCGTGTTTTGGAAGAGACGTCAAGCCGTTGTTAATAGAGGCTAATGTTGAACAAATAAAAAGGTCGAGTCTGACATCAGTTAATACTATTAATAGTTACACAAGACAAATGGAAGAGAATAAATACGACCGTTAACTATTGCAGTATTTTTTTATAAAAGCCCTTCCCAGCTAAGACAATTGCGGACGTAGACGGCAATTGTTCTTGTAATAGTATAAAATGCTGAAGGTAATTGGAAATAGAAAGATAATTAAGTTAACCTTTTATGTTGAGCGTTACCAAGTATGAACGTTAATAAAAAACGGTGTCGTCCATACAAGGCCCATATGCATAAATATGAAAATATATGGGGTCATAAAACTATCTACCTTATTTATTAAGCGTATTGTTTTTAACCTGTTAATAATTAAGGTATCTTTATTGTCACGAATTATTGCAAACAATATTCAATAACGTATTACTACTACTTACTACGAGTTATTTAGTAGCTTTACAATCATTTTTCATCAGTTTTTTTTTTGTGAATAAAAAAGATATTAATGTGCAGGTGTCTTTCACGACGTCATACTGATAATATCAGTATGTTTTTTTTAAGTCTTCCTACAGAATAGCACTTAGTTTTACTGCACTACAGAATAGTACTTAGTTTTACTGCAGCACTGGCTGCAGTCTAAATAAATACATAAAAAATGTTTTACATGATAATGGATGATAGAGATATAAATGCAGTAAACGTGTGTTTATATAAGATGTTCTGATAAGTGAATTATAAAAGTGCCTTTTTATAAACATTGACTGAAATATCTAGTACATGATTTGACGTGATAGAAAAAAACTAAGTAAATAATAATGTCTGACTTAGCGATCTTTATCCTGAACAGAGGTAAAGAAAATGAATTCCAAAGGGTACCCCAGGTTTTTTTTAAATACACTGAAACAATAAATTTAAGATATCTCAATAGTTGCTATTAATATTACTCAGTTTATGTTTTCTGTTATAAAATCAGAGTACCAACGTCTCAAGCAGTTAATGTACTAAACCATGATGAAAATAGGAGAAGCTATTGTCAAATTATAAATACGCGGTGCCAAGGACGACATTATCATCAGTAACACGTAACAACAAACATAGTAAACTTTATTTCCTTAACATGAATTACATATATAATTTATGTTAATGTACTAGTTAGTATTAAACTCGTTCTTTTATTATGAGAATATATGTATGAGGATGACTACAGAAAACATGAATGGACTGTGTGAGGTATGATGAGATCACAGTTCACAAAGAGTCGAAGAACACACTGCGCTAGTCCCATGTAGAATGGAGTCAGGGCAGGAAGATATGTCGTAAGATTACTGGAAAGAAAGATTCGATCAAGATCTGGAGGACAATGAAAATTACAACTTCGTTTTATCATAATACTGGTTTTTGTTGAAACCTAGTCTTGATTAGGTTAATGAAAGAATCTAGACACGATTAATTCTAATTTTATAACCCTAGGGTTCTAGATCATATTACGGTCAAAAATATAAAATGTACAAGAATGCGAATTTCGTACGGCTCTAATGAAGACGCTCACTACGCGTTGTGGCAACGAAGCAAAGCCATGAGGCATTTGGAAACATATTTAATTAAGACGCACTTAGCAATACTACTAGCCTCAAATGTTATCATAGATGTCCTGAGAAAACATTATTTATCTCATAAAAAATTTAATGATACTCTTTCTGATGCAAAAATATTGAATCCTCCTTAATGTATTTGTCATTATAAAATATAAAAAATTGTAACATAAAATATAAAATAAAAAGTAATTTGTTAGTTTCTTGGGATTACTTTATTAAAGAAAAACTGATTAAACCACGCACCTCAATACTACCCATGTTATTATCGATTTGATGATAACAATAACCTTGCGGACACAACAAAACTTAGGTTAAACTATGTACGAAAATGAATTTAAATATTACTAGGGGTTTCATTTGAACAAGTTGCCACGCAACGTGTTCTAATTTCCGAGTACCCAGCAAATGTACAAGAATCGTGTCTTTTAATTTACTAGTTTAATGTCACAGAGGCCACGGTAATGATATAAAATTAGATATTATGAAAATATACTCATTAATGCTATCTAATCGATATGCATGCGATGTTTTAAGTAGATCCGTTTCGAAATCCGTTGGTAACGATAACATCGTCCAACTTATCTTTAACATTGAAATGTTGCAATTGATCGATTTATTGAAATTAAAATTGCTAACATAACTTTTCACGACCTACGTTACAGAGAAATGGCGGGATCAACTCACTTCTAACAAAAAAAAACATTACTACATAATTATTATTCAAAACTAGCTTTCGCCAGCGGCTTCGCCCGCGTGGACCCTAGGGAAATGTTTAGTGGGATAAAAAGTATCCTATTATCTAAGTCAGCTAACACCCTATCTGTATACCCAATTTCATCAAAATCCGTTCAGTAGTTTCGGCGTGATTGACGTACAAACATCCAAACATCCAAACAAAGAAACTTTCACATTTATAATATTAATAGGATTACTATCGTACTCTTTGTACTTTGATAGTGCTGATATTATATATTTAATATATACACCAAAGAGTTCATAACGTCGAACTATGCGAACTCCTTTGTTGTGATGCCTACTCGCGTATCACTAAATACTTATAAATAGGTATGTACAATACTTACGATTACTCAAAGGGCAAACTCCGAGCGGAATGGAAACACAATTGTTCTCTTCTGCATATAGCAGCTTTGTTTTTAACTATTTATTAATTTATTATAATTGAATAAAATATGTACATACTGTAATTTGCATACACATTCTTCTGTAGAGCTGAAGATTATTTTCTTGACAGCTCGAATCTGAATTTGAACTATCTTATCTATACTAAATTCTCTAAATCGTTCTTTTTTCTTTGATAAATGAAGACACAAATCTGTTATTATCTCTTAACAAATTAATTGTAGGTGTGAATAAATCAAATAAAACCTGTTTCAAAGGGTAATAAAATAAAGGATGTATTTCATTGAACGTCTAACGCTGCCATCGCTGTATTCTTCATGCTATAATGCTTCACTCAATTCCTGATGTTTATATGACAGGAACAAAGTGGATTTTTTAAGCATTTTTCATTAAGAAATAAACATTTTTATTGAAAAAAAAATAATAAGTTCAAAAACCAAATCCCGACTACAGCTAAATCATGCTCTAAAAAGTTTGAAACAAGAAATATATTTTATAGCGATGGCTATACATATTATAAAAGGACAGCGTAGTCGAATACCACAACTTGGCCACAAGTTTGTTTTGTTGTGAGCAGTGCTAATTAAGCCATTTAATTTGATAGTAATTAACTACCTTATGACATTATTATTTACAATCTGAAATTACATTAAATCTTAAAACTATCAAAAATGTTCATTCAAATTTGACTTTCTTTTTATATACGTTTTTTTAAAATAATTGTTCTATTACCCTGTATTATTTATTGATTTTTTACATATTATTTGCTTTCTGACATGATAATAACATTGACCACATTTCTTTCTGACATGCTTCTGATCTACATTTTGTTTGTTCTTTCGTTTATTCTCCTTTTTCTTTGATTTTCACCCTGCTCGGCTCAGCTGGGGTGATGGGTGAAAATCAGTGCCTTACCAACATTTCGGTGATTTCAATGCACTGAGCCTAGACCCTTTCTCTCTGCTACACACAGGTACATGACTTATTCCTAGTTAATATTTTTTCTATTATGCCTTTATTTTTTTTATTCTCGTTTACAAATGAGGAAAAGAGTCTTAGTTACGCGGACAACTAAGACCCTTTTAATAATACCTCATTTGTCCTGTTACGTTGTTTCCAAGTTATAAGGGAACAGATGACCATTCTTACATACATACCGGCCAAAATCATAACCCTACTTTTCGCTTCGCCGTAGTCGGGTAAAAATAGCTATTTAGCTTAGACTAATACTTGTAAATACATTTCACCCAGATACCTGCACTTACCAACACACCGTTTCAAAGTACAGTTCAGCACATATCAATTGCAAAATCTTTAACGGTGCAAAATAGATCTTATTGGCTAACGCAAAAGGTAGTTTTATAAATCAATTTGATATAACATAAACCGTTAGAGAGGCTTCATGTTAACTCATTCAGTGTCAAGTGGCGGTTGCAAAAAACCACACTAGCAACGGTGATATTTAAACTTCAGTGATATCTAAAGAGATAAAGTTCGGGTAAAATCGCCGGAACGCAGCTAGTTAGGATATAAAAGAGACAAACTTTAAAAGGGCCACAACTCAATAGCACAAAATAAATAAAATGGTAAACTTGCAAATTTTTTTCTTCCTTCCCTATATGCATATGTTTTTACAAGATTTATCCTCGAGTTTTTATTGGCAAAACTATTTTGA